GCCCCGTGGTATTTTCCCCCCCCCCCCCCCGCCGATACATCATGGGCTGAAGGGGCTGGGAGAAATGTGGGTGCTTCCCATGGGTCCCCTCCTGCTGCTTCTCCCCAAAACCTGCCGGACCCACGGATCCCCAGGGAGATGCTGCAGATCCGAAGCTAGTGCTGAGGCTGGGGAGCAGCTTTTGATGGGGGCAGCCGGGGTTCCAGGCACCCGGTGAGCCTCAGTGGGGCTTCAAAACCTGCTGCCTCACCTGGGGAGGTTCTACCACACATGGGCTTGTGCTTGCTGGTGGCGACTATGAACACATTTGAGCCCAGAAGGGAAAACCCGCCTGGTGCCAGCAAACGCCTGGCTGCGGCTCTCCAAGGACACAACCAGACCTGGAGTGACCATCTACCAGGTGTCCTCAGCTTTGGCCAGCGCTGGTTTCACCATGACATCTCCACAGGGTCCTGAGCACCTCCAGCGCTGACCTGGGACTTGGGATGGGGCATTTCAGCATCCCCTGGACCCTCCTGCAAGGGCAGGACCAATGTGGGGAACAGGCGACCTCTGCCACCGCCGCATACTGGCCACCACAGCTTTCAGGTGGAGCCACGCGCTGACACGGCATCACGGTCACTGGGCAGTACAGGGATGGAGCTGCCGCAGGCACCCCGGCAGGTCTCCGTTGCCCGGGGGATCCCCAGATTCAGCAGGGGCTGGAGACCTCACCGGATCACGCACCAGAGGACCAGGAGCTGCTGAAGCCCACACCGGCTCCGCTGCGCCGCGTGGGATAACACGACAAACCCAAGGCAAGCCCTGACCAAAGCATTTCCCGCCCCCTCCCCAGTGAAATAACAGCCCCCAACCGCACGAAAAGCCTCCAGGAGTACCCCCAGCCCTACCAGGATGCCCAGACCATCCCGAGCATCCCTCCGGCACCGGCTGCATCCCGGGGCTGCGGCCGCCCTCTTTACACAGAGCAGCTTTACACAGGGCCGGCGGGGGGCAGGCGCAGGCCGCCCCCCCGG